ATTGAAATCTTGCTTATCCCACTCCTAGCAAACAGCCATATTTTTGAGATCATTGAGGAGGTCCATCCATAAACCATAGTCACGCGCCCACGATCATTGATGAACTTTAGGCTTCGCTAATGCTTTTCTTTTTCCGGGTATAAAAGGCCGGTCGGAATTAGTACCCTCGCCCCGGGCTAACGCCCGGAAAGTTGGCCGTTGGCTCGGGGATAATAATAACAAGACGCCTGCTCAGGCGTTCACACTGACTTGAAAATGGCGACATACGTGCTATGGTGCAAGTTTGTGCAATAGGCAAGGAATACAAATCGTGAACCGCAAACGCATGAAAGGCTGAAAGCGTGGCGTGATGCTGAGGAGATGTTTTCGTAATGTTTAATGAAACACAAGTATTACTACAAAATACAAACGTTATCCATAAATGCACATGGTCTCTGAGCATGCCATGCGCTAACGCAGACAACATTGTTTACATTCCGTGAGTCTGTAACGTTACTAACTTACTGCGTATAAAATTCGAAAAACTCAGCGATCCAGATATCGCATTTCCAGAGACGTTGCACGAGAAAAAACACCAAGTCAACTTCTAAGAAAGGACAGTGTAGGATAAATCCAAAATCCACAGAAAAACGCGGTAAAATCCGTGGACAAATGAAGAAATTGTTTGAGACTGAAATAGTCACTCTTCGAATGGCCGCCATCCTGAAAACTGATCTGTATAGTGAGCCCGCGATGCGCTAACGCAAACTCCATTTCTCGACGACGAAAACAGAAAACAGAAAACAGATAATTAGGGATTTAAGACACTTGACCTTTCAGGTCAGTGTAATAATGGTAATTTTTGGCAAGAGAGCGACTCGTGCGTGAGCTATCGACATTTATAGTTTTTCACAGGTCCTTGCAATTAAACTATAGTATCTTTTATTTTAAGTGATCATAAAGCAAAAGAATTGCTTTATTTTTTGACAAAATAATGAACGGGAAAACTAGCGTGCAGTATAGCAATAAATTTAGAATGAGAGCACGCACTTGCTCATTTGGCAGCCAGAAAATTACGTCTCAGTATTTATTTTACATCTTTTTGAATGTCAGATCTTCATTGGTTATCCTAATACCTTTGCTCAAGTCAACCCCATGCCAAGGCATTACCAAATTTAGTTAACTTCAAGATGAACTCCCAGATGAACAAATAATTAATCATGCACGTACTGAATTATTCTAATTATAAAATGAGATTTCTTTGTTTTAGTTTGGTATAAGGGTTGCAATGGACTCGTGGTCTGAAGCACTCCTTTCACCTGAACGTAACTGGACGCCTGAGGAAATACTGGACAAGTTGAAGAACTATATGGATTTTTTGTCTCTTTTCAAAAATAGATTTCTCGATGGCTAATATAAGTGAGCCAAAGTGCAAAAGTTGAATGGGTACATGGAATTTTTATCTCTACTTAAAATTTAGGTTTTCGATGGCCAACAAGTATTCTCAGAGCCGATTTGAGGCCTAAGCTGCGGCAAAAATATCTCAAATGGCAGGGAAACGACATTGTAAGGTAAAGAAATTCCATAAAGTTATGCAATGTTTATAAGAACAATTAATCACAGGCAAAATCAACTACATCGTCAAAAAGAGATATTAATATATGCGAATTTATTACTAATGATCAAGGCTTGTAAAATGTTGCTTTAAAATATATTATGCTGATGAAAAACCTACTCAATTCTGATTGGCTGAGAGCAATGTAGTTTTTTGTTAATGGGCCACTTGCCTTATAGCTGTGCATGACGGTAGGAGTAGTTACTTTGCAATCGAACGGGGTGGTGACTGTAGAGCGAGCGATTTTGTTTTGAAGATGAAATGGCGGATTTCTAACAACTTTTTGCATCCATCGATGACTTTTATCCGCAGGAAAACAACAAAAGAGCTAAGAACTACATGTACATGTAATTTCGTGACGTTACATGTGAGAAACTCGTAATAGGTGGCAATAATTAAGGACAATAAAACGGCGGCCATCTTCTGCCTTGTGACAAAAAAATTCCGATCTTAATTTGAAACGCGAATTTACTATAACCTATGTAAATATCAGTGGTAACGACCTATTATAAACTCGTTCCCAGCGTTTTTCAAAAAATAACCGTAATAAACGAGAAAGCGTTTTTACTGCCGTATAATATAAATGTGTCGGAAAACGTGGGCTAGCTCTTAGCCGAGTTTTTTCCACATACTTTGAGGTAATGCGTCGGTAATGAACAACTTTTGAGTTGAATGAAGTGAATGTTTTATTCACTTTGAATAGGGGTGAGAAAACGATGTGTAGGGCCACTAAAACTGACGAAGTTGATCGACGTCAACGATTAGAATGAGTTACAACAACACTATTTGTCGATTGAGATTCGTGATGTTTTTGGTGAATTCATGTATGCTAGTTAGTTACTGTAGGTTGCTACTCGATCGGCTTTGAATACGGTTCTGTTGAAGGTGAACATAATTGTCTGTTCGATTGACCACTTGCTCGGCTTCCTCTAAACTTGAAAAGATTAAGTCTTTTTAAACGATAGCGTTCGAACCCATTTGTTGTAGTCTTGACAGAGGCAAATAAATCGTTTCCGGGAGTGAACGATCGAAGGTTGAGGAAAATTCATTTGATGAGAGATGTGATGGGAGACAGATAGGAATGCTCGAGGTTGTATTGTTGGTGGTTTCCTTATAAACATCGCACATTTGCTTAGTGGTGTGTGAAGAATATCACACATGCTCGAAAGAATGACTCAATGCATTCAATACAGATATACCCACTGTGAATTGCAAAATTAACATGTTCAATTTATTGAACACAACGGTAATGTTTAATCAATAATTTAATAATGAGTGTAACCACCACTGTTCTCGATCACCTCCGGGCAACGTTGCTTCATGGTGTTGATGAGTCTGCTCACCCACCGTTGAAGTATAGCCATACATTCTTCCTGCAACAATTGAGCCAAGTCTGCCAGAGTACTGTATGCTGTGATTTGGCGATTGACAGAGCGCTTGAGCTGGTCGCAAATATGCTCAATTGGGTTGAGATCAGGCGAGTTTGCAGGGCACACCATTCGCTCCAGTCAAGCCTCACCAGTTGAGAACTCAGTGACGACTCTCCCCATGTGAGGGCGGGCGTTATCGTCCATAAGGATGAAACCACCACCAATGGCAGCGGCATGTGGGCGCTATATTTGAGCAACATTGAATGGAATTCAATTTTCCATTTATCTATATAAGCGATGTCTTGTTGTTTCTCGATCATTTTGTTCGCCGAAGCAAGGAAAGAGTTCGACAATTTTAAACAGTTTGCATATGACATATCGTCTAATTTCTCTCTTTCCACACACGCTAAATAAAACCACAGTTAATAAAATAGGATGGTTTGGCTAGCTGGACCCACGAAATATGTTATTGTTCTCGACTATTGAGGTCACGTGACGCTTTTAGTGCATCAGCGATAAACAATGAATGCTTTACAATATGAGCGGCGACGCACTTCTACACCGAAAACCTTCGAATTAACTACTTTTTCTGGCGAAGTTTGGAAAAATCTCAGTAGCTACGCTACGCCGTGTGTCAATTGTGCAAAGTATATGGCTGTTCGACCAGTGGCGTAACGTTATATCAGGGGGCCCCCGGTTCAAAATTTTTGAAGGCCCCCCTAGTAGAAGTGCCAAAGGCACGAGTCGAGCGCCGTATATGCACGAAATTTCTAGGGGGTCCAGGGCATGCTTATCCGGAAAATTTTTGAATTTAGACTCTCTGAAATGCCATTTCCTGGACTTTGGGGAGAGATTTTACAGAATTCTGATGGTGATAAAACTACATTGTAACATATCAGAGGCCCTGACCAATGTTTTTGCTCTATTGCCTAAGCCTGGGGGCCCCCATTTAGGTTGGGGCCCCCGGGTTCTCACGGTCTGAGCCCATAGTAGTTACGCCACTGTGTTCGACAAGTCGAAAGAGTGGTCTTTCGTTATTTAAGTTACCTTGACCTAGAGTGGATAATTGACAAGAGACGAAAGCTTCGAAGGAGATTGCGCGTAAAGAATGGCTACATGGATACTATGAACAAGGGAAATGACTCCCGAACTGAAGCAGAAAATCTAGGAAAATAAGTGTGAGCGTCCTTTCAAAGAAGAATTGACATCTGATTGTAAGTACGGACTTTTTATCTTTGCGCGAAATATTGTAATTGCTCGGCCCTTGTCTTATTGTGTATAATCAATATGGTTGAAATATTTGCGGTTTATATATTGAATGTATCTTAAATAACTGTGAATACTAGTCTAGTAATTGAATTTTTGCCCTTTTGTAGACTGAAAGAGGAAATTGTTAGAAACAGGAGCTGTTCCAACTGAAAATCTGCCGTTAAACAGCCATGAAACCAAGCCAAGCATACGTTGGGTCCTTGATTCAAAGACAACAAGAAGCTGGCACCCGTGGAGAAAAAAGAAACGTTTGAAGAGTTTTGTTAAAATGTTAAGGGAGTTTCGCTTGATCCTTGGAGTATCACAGCATGTACCGATGATGAAATGGGAATTGAACTTCGGGACAGCGATATTCAATTCACAAATTTGTGCTCATTATAGATTCATGTTTACATTTTTGTTCACAAAATTTATTCAAGCCATTGATGACGGATGAACCCTGCTGAAATTGCTGAACTTTTGCTGTCTCTTCAAAGGGGGGAATTCAAGATATGCAAAGGTTTACGACAGAAAGAATACCTAAACTCCTTACAAAGGATGCTATAATCTATATATCGCTATATATAACATATTGCTAGGTTAAATTTGTATCTTGTACACAAAACAGTCAAATAGCTTCTTATTGAACTAAAAATAAATTGATCAGCCCAGGCCAGGCTTAGGCTCGCAGTGTAAACACGGCTCTAGTATATTTAGGCCCAGGGGTATGGAGTGTAGGGTGTTAATTATTGGCTATGTTAAAAGTATTTTTGGAATGGTGGACAATCACATAAATTATATCAATTGCTATGCACTTTGTTAAGGCATTGAAATTATCATTATAAATATTTTTTAATTTATTTAATTGTATGTACAAAAAGTATGTTTATCTAAGGATCATAAAGCCAAATTAACTTTTTTCCCTATAAACTGTCTTAATAGAATCCCTACAACCTCTAGTAGTTTGACCAAATCATTACATGGTGTAG